GGCGGCGCGAGCCCCGGCAAAAAAAGTTTAACTGGCCGATAATGTTTGTAGGTGAAGCGTCAAAGGACAAGCGAGTCATCGCTGGGAGGCTGGAGCATGTGAGCTCCAGATGTGGTACCACTGACAGTCATTTGATGAAACAGAGTCTTTTAAAGAAGTGATTTTAGTTTAAAATAGATTAATTTCCTTTCCTTTACAGAAGAAATCGTTTCAGGATAAGTGAGGAACTAAGGAACGTGGCCAACTCGACGGATCCCGTCACGGTAATGGCTAAAATCAGATCGATGAAAAACAGCTTCCGTCCTTGATGGGATCGGGCAGTAGCAGCAGCTTCGCTTTTGCATTAAAATTCGGCAGCTGTTTGCTTGAGTAATGTACAGTTCGACAGCTCAGAATACGATTTCGATCGTCCCTGTGAGGGATTTATAAGATCGAGTTAGCAAATTCAAGACGCAGTAGCTCTTGAAATCGCTTAATCTGTAAACGATTATGCAAAGTACGAATAAAAAGTTATTTGTTGTGATCGTATGACTGCACTGTACTTGAACCTGAAGCATTTGTAACTGCTGCTGTTCTCCTCCGGATTGTCCACGTCGCTTCGAATAGCTACCTTTCCATCGAGATGCACCTTTTGCGTCATCGATGAACGGGCAGCCTTTTCAGCGGTTGTACCAAAAGTTGCGTCACTTGCTAATCTGTCCTTTGGTAATACTTGCTTCTGCTTCCGGACCTTCCAGAAAAAAGCACTAAACATGTCAAATACCTAGCATTTCAAAAAAAGAAAATGGATCGGCAGGGAGAGGGGCGGGCGCGGAAGGAAGGAGGAAGAGGAGCAGGGAGAACTCGCTCGACAAATTGCACAAGTGAACAGAAATATCAATTTTAAAACAATGAGAATTTAAGAGGGGAATCGGAAGAGTAAGATGCCACAATAAAAAAAACCAGTGGGGCAGAATAGTCATCAAAAAGTTTAGTTTTATCAAAACTGTAATACATCCACTGCTTTTCACAATTATGTGAGGAAGTCACCCAGAACTCCCCAGATCGTAAGTTCAGGCGAAAGCAGGGCTATCTCCCCGACTTTTTTTTTCCGACCTAAAAAAAATTTGAAAATAAAAAGATTTTAATATTTCTTGGGAGCCTTATTTTTCAAACAGCCTACTGCAACAAATGAGAGACCCTTCCGGACGACAGTTTTTTTTCGCCTGTAGATTCTAATATCCAGCTGCCTGATGCGAACACTGGTCTGACACCTAAATCCCATTACATCTAGCGAAGACTGGAAGCCCAGAGGCACACACATAAAGCAGGAGAGATGAAGGCAGTACGGCTACTAAGGCAAATTGTCACTGACATCGCGTGTACAGTGGTACCTGGTGGGCTACCTGCTGTAAGCAACGGTGGATGCAATCACTCGCGGAGATAATGGAAAGGCTGGCCGCATCCGCCAATAGCACTTCTGCTGAGCCGTCTTATTCTGGGATATTCTAAATCGTCAATGATTTTCCCCTAATAATTTTCAAGCGAGTAAAACGTATACAGGACTTCCTCCGTAAATGCTCCTGCATTGGACAGAAATTCAGCATAATGCTTTTGCAAGGAGACTCGATTTTCTTGTAGAAAAGAAACTTTTCCCTCCTCTGCTGCGATGAAAATCCTGTTTTGCTGAGTTCTTAGCGTTGATTCTTTGTTAGTAGCTACAGCTCTGTAAGTGAAGAGCGCCGAATTAGAGCAAACAGTTTATCCTTACCATAAAAATCAGCAAAAATATAAC